GTATCAAAAAATGAAAATATCTGCTGTTCTATTCTGATTGAAAAGAAAGCACATTTGATGTTCTTGGGCTTTTTTGTTTTGTTAGTTCATCAACATGACTTGAGCTCTGGGAATTTATCATTTTACATTTATTATTTTTATCTTTACATTTTTTCATTTCAAAAAGTTTAGTGACAATAAAACATTTTGTACTCAACCAAAAGCACTGCTAAAAGTTAAAAATGTATGTATGTGAATGTAAAATATGACCTAAATATAAAAATATGACCTGATTTACAAACTTAAGACAGAGAGGGGCAGCATGTTCAGCACTCTCACCTTGATTCAGTCACATTGCGAGGGTTGCCAGTACAGTTGATATGCAGCATGTATCCGTTACAGCTGACTGGATTGCAAACGGATAAGAAGTTTGGACGGGGTCGACCGATAGTGAACTTGGCCAGGTCGGTCAGTGATTGGCTGACGGCTGCTCCAAAAAGGAAGGTGCCCACCACCTTGTAAAGAGCGGACAAGTACTGGTTGAACTGGGAGTTGGAGTGCAGACGCTTTTGTGTGCACGAGGTAGGCCTCTCCTGTAGTGATCTGTGGAACAGACAGAGGAGACATCATGAAGGCTTTTTTTTTTTTTTTTTCAGCGTGCAACAAAGATGCTCAGATGTTTTGACTCACAATGACAATGGAGCAGATGATGGTGACGGCAGCCATGCCTCCATGGGAGATGGTGTCTCTCCTGTAGGGGTAGCTGATGCTTTCGTCATCGCAGTAGATTCCTCTTTGTACGGAGAGAACATCAGAGTCAGGATGGCAGAGGGCAGAGCAGCTGGAGGAGGAAGAAACAACACGTATTCTCCTTATTATGAGTGCAAATTACAATCTACTGAAATTTGCTATAGAAAGCTGTGCAGTCACTTTCGTTTGTCAGTTTTTAACTTGAGAACACTGGAATATACAGTATATGTTTACATTTATAAATCTATACAACATCAAATTTAAAGACAGTGATTGAATACTTTTTAAAGATCTATTTAATTCAAGTAGCTAAGTGAAAATCTAAAAGTGCCCTGCTTGGAACTTGAAAAAGAAAAAAAATTGCTCAACAGTGCTCGATCCCTTTCATTATTTATTTATACTTTGTTTCCTTTTCTATATTGAAATGCACTATTGGGAAACTCCCTGCACCAGGAGAGGTTATCAGATGGGTAAAGGGTGGGGCGCAGATGGCCTGGCGGTTACGTCGCACCTCATGTACAGAGGCTATAGCCCTTAAAGCAGACGGCCCAGGTTCAAGTCGGACCTGTTGCTCCTTTCCCTGCACGTCCTTCCACACTCCCTCACGCGCCAATTTCCTGCTCTATCCACTGTCCTATCAAAATGATGGCTAAAAGCTCAAAAAATAAATCTTAGAATAAGGGGTAAAAACAAGTGCGCATTTACAGTCTGCTACTTTACTTTGAACTTTTAAAATGAAGTAAAAGAAAAGTCACAAAAAAGGCCTAGTTTGCCGTGTCTTTTGCAGAAATTCAACAAACGACTCCTTCATCTGCGTTGAAAACTAAACTAATTTGTTCATGATTCAAAATGTGTGAACAAACAGGACTACAAACACAACATACAGCAGATAATCAAGACTTAATACGTTGACTGACACTGAAAACAATACCTAAAAAGAAAATGTATAGTGCTCTAAAAAGAAAAAATAATTGTATCACTCAAGTAGAGCTTCTGTAATTGGTGCATTGGAACAGTTCTACTGAAATCTTTGGTAGCCACACTGCTGTTTGTGTCAGAGGTCGAGCCTGAGAGCAGCTTTGAGCCTTCAGCCGAGCGATGACATGTGAACCAAAACACAATGAGGAGCAGCTCAGGAAACAGCTAAAAACACACTGATTGACCAAACTTTTGACTTTGGACAGAAGGTTTGACTCCGCCAAGTAAATTAACATGTCATCGATGGAGCTCAATGGGAACAATTTCACCTCTACAGGTCACTCTGTATTGATTGTCTTTCTGTCACTATGGAAACAGGCAGGACAGGACAGGACAGGACTGGACAGACATGACCTTTAACATCAGGGTGCTGTTGACACTGAAGGTCCTGGGAGCTGAGGATTGAACTGAAACACAGTCTCACACACTCCTGTATTTATAAATCTGTCATGACGAATAGTTTCTGTATGTTTGACAGTGAGAACATTTGGTGTCATAGTTTTGCTCCAAATGCAAACAAAAAGAGTCAGAGCAGCACATAAAGCTGTCTCTTAAATCCAAACAGGGACAATAGTCCAATCTGGAGGGCTGATGTCATGAACCCTCTAAACTGCAACTCTTAGAGTGTCTTCCTGTTTTCAAGAATGCCTCAGCGAGCTGCAGAATTTGACAAGAGCGAGGAATGGATGGAGCTTTGTTTTTGAAAGCTGGAGCTGTAAATTAAGTGGGTAATGCCATAAAAGAGGCTCTCTACTAACAACTTGCTTCCTTCCTAAAGAGTGTGTCGCTGTGCTCTGACAAGCAGCAGTGAATGAAAGCACATGAAGACACACAGAAAGGAAACCATGATTCAAACAGGTCATGTCAGGAAGGTAATTCTAATGTGATTTCAAGTTATTGTCTTCAGGTATAGAGTGCAAATTAAATCTGAGGTCATGTGGCAAGTGTGGGTTATTTCAAAGGAGACAGGTTACATATTAAGCTCCTTTTCAACAACTTTAAATAAGTCTCAGTGGTCACAAACATGTCTGGGAAGTTTCTTGCTAAAAGTCCACTCTGATCCTGTATGTTAGCATGCCAATAAACCCCGATATTTCCAACCTGATCAGAACAGGCTGTTTCTGTGTCCGTAGCTTTAAATGCAAATGAGATGGGTTTGCCCACGCCCCTCTCTGGAAGGGCTGTTTGGGCTTTCATGCACCATGCCCTATTGTTTATGGTGAGAAGGCAGACTCAGAGGGCAGAACAAACAACTAGCTGTGGGAGTGTCCCCAACCTGGGGGAGGGGTTGCTGCCCTTAGTGATGTCACAAAGGGAAAATCTGCAAACGGCCTGTTTAAGCACACGATTTTTAAAAAAGTGGAGCAGGTAAAAGACATGATTGGGGGGTTTGTAGACTGACTCAGCACACATATCATAGTGTGTTTTGCATAATATGTGACCTTTGAAAATGTAAACAAGAAAGAGAAGGATCTGAAAATATGGAGCATAACTGTAAAAGGAGAATTGATGGTTTTCATTTCATGCAAATAAATACTCTTTTAGCTGCTAAAACTTTTGTTTTAAGCATTTTATATAATATTTTTTTATTTAAAAAAAAGGTATTTGTGAAGGTTCCGGAAATAAGAGGAAAAAATAAAATGATGGTTTGCCCTATCCTTTAAGTGTTTTTATGTCATCTATAAGAACAGCAGAAACAATTAGTAAACACAACACTTGCAGTGTTTTACCACAGTTAGTGCTATTTGGACGAAGAGATGAGTGTTTAGGCTTCAACTGATGCCAGGAGGAGAAATGTAGGTTAATTTGGTAACATACATTGGCAATGGAATAACATATCACTAATTTAGACTTGTGTTTCTGGCCACCCAATTAATCTCTTTCAATACAGTGTTTCTGTTCATGCATGGCAGTCTCTTTGTTTCTCTGTTTTAAAGATGGACTGTCTCTTTAAGGAGCTATCAGTCTGACACACCCACCGGTTTATGCCACTACACACTGCCTAAGGAGCACACACACATGCTGCAAAGTGTAATGTTGAAAAAATGAGCAATTATTACAAGTGCTTCTAATGATCTTGATGAAAAGCTGTTTCATCATTAAAGAGAATGTATTGAGATGAAGGGGCGCCCTCCCTCTGCTCTTCACATCTCAGAGTTCATTATTCCAGCAGGTCAAGCGTAATCTCAGTTCCTCTTTGAAGTCAGCTCCAACCATTGTTTATTCTGAAGGGTGCAAGGATAACATTTAGATAAGAGACTGTCGGCTACGTACTGCCAGGGTGGATGCGAGACTGGACAGAGTTGGGCAATGGCCACACACGCACACACACATACACATACACATACACACACTCCTAAGCTCATTTAACAACAGATTCAGTCAGGAAGTCAATTCCACTTTGTATCAAACATGCTTCAACAGCCTCTGGGAGCCGAGCCATCTGAGAGCTTCTATAATCAGAGAGGGACTGACTGTTTTTATCTGCTCTATTATTATAGAGGGCCTGGTATGTTTTTAAAGGCCAGCTCTGGTGGGGCAGCTTACCCTCCCCTGAGGCTGGGTCGAGCTGAGGGGGAGAAACAAATTTGCTTTAAAAAAAAAAAAAAAAAACCCAACAACTGTATTCCTCCTTTTTAGAAATAAAATTATTGTAGGACTTAAAGGAGACAACTTTCTGCATTTTTATTATTTGTTTAATTTACATTAAGGTGTATTACTACTTTATAAAGCATCACATCTATTTATTACTTGTTCAATGTTGTATACACTTTGGTAAAGGTTTCCTCATTACAAGACTATTAAGAAGAAAATTACTGAATGAACTTGTTTTAAATTCCTTGAAGTCTTATTAAAATATGAAAGTGATAACTTTCAATATTACAAGACAAAGTTGGATTGTCTTTTGTTTTTCTTTGATTGCAGGGTCGTTCCATTTTAAGGTGCAGAAAAACAAAAAGCCGTCTTCCCGTATCATTGAGTTAGTAGCCTAAAAGCTAAAGTACTGAGAGCAGTTAGCTTAGCTTAAGCTAGCTAAGGGGCAGTCAGCTTGCCTGGTTCTTCCCCAACTGCAAGATAAACATCTCAAACCCACCAATAAACACATTATGTTGTTATTATTGACAAACAAACTGACATTCAGAGTCATGTTGTCACAGTGAGGTTGACAGAAAACCCGAACACACTAACCTTAATAGAAATGTAGTGTAGCTTCTTCTAAAATGTCAATTGAATGTTTAAACTCTCTGTTTTGTAGAGAGGAAATGAACAAGGTACAATGTGCAGGTAACTGAACTTTAGAGGCTTCAGGTAGGTTAAAGGGAACTGAAGCTGGTTCCCATGAGTTTCTAATACTCAAGTTAAGGTTACAAATACCTTCCAGTGCTAAAGTCCATCAGTTAGCTAGCTACTAGTTGCTTTGTGGGTTAGAAGTTTTCTTTTATGATATAAAATGCAGTGACTTTAAAATGCTTATATCTCAGAAATAAAATGTCTGTCAAGAATTCTAACAGTAGCTATGAAAATATGTATTATGAAGTTTTATAATTTCAGAAAATGTTCTCAGCTTGTGCACTAGTTTTTCTTCCCTCAATTTTTCATCCATACCGTCCTCTTCATTTGTCTTCTAAAGATGTGAAAATACCTTAAGATGAAACTTCTATCTTCATCATCCACTGTACATTATTTTTGGGTGTTAAGAAATTGAGGTCAACTGAAGTTTTGTTAGTGCTTCTTTTGAGTAGCAAGATGTACCATCCTACTCTGACATTTTACATGTGCCTGTTGAGTTTTTTCCCCCACTCTATCACTTTCTTTACAAAAAAAAAAAAAACCTTTACAGCTTCAAACAATGTAGAAACCAGTTTCAGCCTGTCATTCAAAAGAGACACAAAATGTTTCTGCTGAGATTTTGTTTCATTAACATCCACAGGAGAGATTTAAAAAAAAGGGAAGAAGTGAAAGTATTGTTTTACGCTTTCACAATCTCTTCTGGCAAGAGCGAAGCGCTGAATCCACTTTGAGAAAATAAACATGATGGAATTTGGGATCAGACACAAGTACAACTTCCCCTTGACCTGTGACCCAGCGGGAAGTGGGAAGTGTTCCTGTTAT